GGAAACACTAATGGTATCTCAGGACAAAAATTATTTCTTTAAATTGATCGATTTCCATGGTGATTGATGATAGAGTCTGTATATCTTTCAGGTACTGTGTATTGAGAACACAGTACTGGATTAAGAATGAACTTTTTAATGCGTTCGCTGAAATAGTTTGTGATCATAACAATCAATACCTAAAAATGAAGTTGGCAGGAGCTTTAGGACTTCCTGGAAAATGTTGTTTCTTCATTGTCTCTTCATCAGGAAGTAAATCTTCCAGGATAACTGGTCTAATGCACTCATACAAAGGCTGCTGCCTTTCCACTGCTTCTGCACCTTTGGATCTGACACATTATATATAATTACACAAGTCACTAACTGAATTTTCTAAAGAAAAAGAGGGGTTTAATTCCAGAAGTTTAAGTTCTGCAGCAAAAAATCAAAACAAAATGTCTGATTTGCTTAATAAAATAAAATGAAGTAAAATTTAAAGAAAGGATTACTGAACTGCGTAGCTATTAATTGATTTGAAAATCTGAATGTTCAATTCCTTTTCAGATGAGAAGATAATTTCAGATAAGACAAAATATCATAGAAAAAGCTGTATTAATAACTACCAATTTAAGCCAATCATTTGAGCAACTGAAAATAAATTTGTAGTATGTTTCTGTGTATATAATAGCAAATTTTCTGTTGAAAATTACTGAATTAAACCCAGTATCCTTCTTGATAGTTTCATATGGAAATTGACATAAATGTATACATTTTGCTAATATTAGAAATTAACATTAATCTGCTACTTTAAATCATACTCAATCTGAATGCATATTTTTCCTATGTTATCTGGCAGTATTTATTTGCTCCACTTTGTAAGTCAGCAAATACTACTAGGTTTAAAAAAATAAAAATAAAAAGCTGTGTGTTTGCACTTAATAAAAGCGCAGTTTCACAAAATTGTAAAATATGGAAATTTTTCTGCTCTGTGTTCATGTTTATTTGAGAACATCAGTTCATCCATACCAGTTTTTTGGTATGTTTTTCTCCTCTTGCAAGTGTTAGAAAATCTTTCCCAAGAAGACTTTATGTGAGAAGTTGTTGAAAGCTTTATTTTGAGCAGATTCTGCATCTGACCTGAAGATCATCAGAAGTCATGAAATCTTTATAAAGAGGAAGGGCAAAAAAGTTAATGACAGTTTTTGCATGTCTACTTGTTTATTTTGTGTATTTTTTTTTAAGTGGTTCTGTGCGCATCAGTTGGTTGAAATGAATTTAATTATTTTCTTCTTAATAAGTGCAGTTCAGGCAGTTTCGGTGTTCAGTCACAGAACTAACTTGTCCAAAAATTTGGAATGTTGGTAATTAATTCCTCTACAGCAGCTTGAAAGTTTTGCAGCTTATAGGAAGAATTTTATGTGATAGGAATTCAGTTCATAGGAATGCTTGTCTGGTCAATGTAGTACAAATGTTACTATTTAGAGATACTAATGTAAGAACAAAGCATAGTCAATCATATCAGGAACCACCTACACATGCTCTAGAAATAAACTGATGGAATTCAGTAGAATACTGAGATATGAGTTTCTGTGTTGCTCATATACAGTATAGGATTGTTTGTTCCTATGTTTGCCTACATTTCAGGTCAGCAATCTGTTAACTTCTATTCTCCAACAAGTTTTAAGGCTTTAGATGATTATGAGTTTTATGAAATTCTCCATATACTTTGCTTCACTTGAATTCAGCGGAAGTTTTCTGTCTCCCCAAAGCAACAGGCAAAGTTGAGAGCTTTTAAAAAGTCTTATCCCAGAAAACCAGCACTGATTTGCACAAGAGGTACAAGAGGCCTTAAATCACTCCACCAAAAAAAAAAAAAAAGAAACTATTTCCAATGCAGTATTGCCTAGTTATGCCTGTTTACAGGAAATATGACCTGAACAAAAGCCAAAATAAGCTTCCAAGAAAAATTAGTGGAACTGGCTTTAAACAAGCAAGCTATGAACAAAGTAGCAACTGAGAAACACTGAAGTAAGAAAACATACAAAGTGATTTGATTGATTTTATAACCAGACTTCTCAGAGGCTAAACAGAGACTACTGGAAAAGATGAAGTTCCACTTACGTCTTCACAAATGGTAGCTCACAATATTCTTAGATATTCATGTCTTTAGTTATAGTACCAATTTTCTTTTATAAATGCTGCTCCTTTGTTCTGTGCAAAAACGAAGAATTCTGCCAATGTTCTATATCTTATACACATTTAATTTTTAATTACTAATGTGTGTAGCATTAGCAATATTGATAAACGTGTTATCAGGAGGTCTCAGATTGGTATTTCTATTATGATTCATCTTCCACAAGTCAGCATATGGTAGATTGTTGGGTCCCTTCCACATCTTCATTTTGTGATAATAGTTCTGGTTTAGTTAATTAAAATTGCAAGGTGGTTATTTTTCTCAAGAGTTTATATGTGTGTAGTTTGCACTGTTGTTTCATAGGCTATCTGAAACAAACTCTGGTTTCACTACTGAGTGTTTGTTTGCTGTTTCTAAGGAAAAAGGTATTATCTGCCTGGTTAGACTCAATGAATCTTTTGTTCTTGATTTTCCTAGTGAAACTAGTAGCAAAATAATCATTCAGTGTAGTGTTTGGGTTTTATTTGTTAATCTGTGATTATTCTTAAGTAGTCATATCCCTCAGATTAATAGTAAAGGCAGTTGGTTTTTGCTGATTTAAAGTTGTCTTTGTATGTTTAAGAACAGCAAACTCTGTTATAACAAAAATTGCTGCTCAATTTTCGATTTGAATGTTCAAATTGCTGTTAAACTAATTTTATACCTTTACCAGCATAAATAATTTAAATGTTATATATTTATGTTTAATGCTGTGAAGAAACTTTGTGAATACAATATTCAGAGGCAGTTCAGAAAACTAGCAGTTATGATGTGCCCAGTCGTTAATACTCTACCTACTCTACCTATATTGATTTTCTGTCTCTCACAGTGACTTTATAGATGTCTAGATAAGTAATTATTGTAATGTAGATTAAATTTTAAAACTTTTGCAGTTCTATTGGAAGACATTAAAGAATTTTCATACCAACAATTTGGGGAAGGCTGATATTTTACTAGTCCTTTTGCTGAAAAGGTAAAAGGATAGAATGCACATTTTTGTCATGTGTATTTTAATACATACTAGTTCATACTTAAAATGTACAACACTGTGTGAGCAGTTTTCAGTTTGTAAGGTAGTACATATCATAAACATTCTTCAGCAATTCCTCCACAAAAAAGAATAAGCTCTTCTGTTTAGAAGCAGTATATAAAACATAGCAACTGGAGTGAATGTTTAGAAGTGGTAAACAAAGAGGAGAAATTCACAGGAGTTTTTCTAGCAAAAACTTGAAGAAACAGCTACATAGTATTCTAGAGAAGAAAAAGGTAAATTAATTAACAGCTAAAGGCTTTAATTAATAATAATTAATTATTTAATAATTAATTAAATCTTAAGGGCTTGCTGTAACTTTAAATATAATCAGTTAAATTCAGGATGTTAATCTCATGAAATCATGACTAGTATTTCACATGGACAAAGTATGAAAGTATATTAGTATTGACATTAAATGACTGTAGCAATAGTGTTAGGATGGACTTGTTCATGGAGGTTGATTAGGATGATTATTTAATATTGAAGAAAGTGGTTGAATTTATAAGAAGCATCATTCAGTGGTAAGTAGATCTCAAGCATAGATATGTGTTGGATGGAGAATGGCTTGAGAACAGCCCTGAAGAGTAGGATTGGGAGTGTTAATTTATCAGTTATTCAATATGAGCCAGCGATGTGTGTTTGCAGCCCAGAAGGAGAACAGTATCCTGGCTTGCATCATAAGAAGTGTGACCAGCATGGTAAGGAAGGTGATTCTGCCCCTTTGCTCTCGTGAGAGCCCACCTGGAGTGTTGTGTCCAATTGTGGAGCCTCCAATACAAGAAGGATATGGAGCTGTTAGAACGGATCCAAAGGAGGGCTTTGAAGGTGGACAGAGGGCTGGAGCACCTCCTTGGAAGGACAGGCTGTGAGAGAGCTGTGGCTTTTCAACCTGGAGAAGAGAAGGATCTGAGGAGACCTTATAGTAGCCTTCTAATTCCTGAAGGGAGCCTACAGAAAAGCTGTGGAAAAACTTTCTGCAAGGGCAGGTTGCAACAGGACGAGGAGAAAAGATTTTAAACTAGAAATGTGTAGATTCAGACTATATATTAGGAAGAAATTATTTACTATGAAGGTGATGAAACACTGAAACATGTTGCCCAATGAGGTTGTGGATGCTCCCTCCCGTTCAAGACCAGGCTGGACAGGGCTTTGAGCAAGCTGGTCTAGAGGGAGATATCCCTGACAATAGCAGAACTAGATGATCTTAAAGGTCCCTTCCAACCCAAACCATTTTATTATTCTGTGGAACAGTGTGACTGTTTCAAAAAAATGTTACTCTATGTTAAGATGAGACTGTTTGAAAGAAGCTGTTCCTTTGTAGTCTGTAACGGATTTATTAGAGTAAGTTTCTGAAATAATATGTAGTATTATGTAAAATATAATATAGTATATTATGTATAGTATATATATATATATACTATATATATATATATATATATATATGTATATATATATATATATACTATAAATAATATAGTATTATATAGTATATTATGTAAAATATATGTAGTATATACTAAATAATATTTACAATGAGGCTAAAAAAACCAACAACTCATAGTTAACCTGTGTCCACTGCTTCCTTTTACTCTCCAAGTACACTGTAGTATGGTATTATGGTATTTTTTTTAGATTACAAGTAATATGGTTTCATTGAATACCGTAACTAATCCCACTATCCAAAATGTGACTAGATGATGAAGTGGCAAGTGATGCATTCACTCTACGACATTATAAATGAAAGTATTTGAATTTAATGCAAAACATATGTGTATATATACATGTGTGTGTGTTCTGTTTATTTTGATATTGCAGGAAACAGCATACTCCATTCAGCTGCGGACAGTGTGACAAGTGCAGTACAGAAGGCAAGTCAGGCTTTGAATGAGCGTGGTGAAAGGCTAGGTCGAGCAGAAGAAAAGACGGAGGAACTGAAAAACAGTGCTCAGCAGTTTGCAGAAACTGCACACAAGGTAAGATTTTGGTAGAATAAGGTTCTCAGTAGTTAAAGTCATACATTCCTTTATTGAGAAGGGAGGAATGTCATGAAAGAATTGCAGACAGTCATTGTTTATGATCTCTTTGCTTTCTCACTGACTCACTCACTGGAGATAAATTCTGTCCCTCAAGGGTCAGTGCTGGGAGGAATACTCTGTAATATCTTCATCAGTGACATTGCATGTAGGGTTGAGTGCACCCTCACCATGTTCTCTGATGATACCAGGCTGTGGGGTGCAGTCAACACACAAGGACAGGATGCCATCCAGGGGGATCTAGATGCTTGAGCAGTGGGCCCAGGTGAACCACATGAGGTTCCTTCCAACTCTAAGGATTCTGTGATTCTTTGTAATTGTTCCTTATTTGAGTGATTTCTGCTTTGCAACTACTTCTGTGCATAGATCTGTAGCCAAACTCCTTGGAAAAGAGATCAAACCTTAAGATAAAGAGTTACAGCTGTATTATCCAATTATTTCCATCCCACTAATTAAAAAAAAAAAGTACTTATAACTTAGAAAAAAGTAACCTGTTTGACGTACAGGTAGCTAATGCTAAATTAAGACATGGAATTTTTGGTCAGATTAATTTCACTAACTCCACTTTAAAGCACTTGTATAATTCTAGTTAGTACTAAGAATATACAATTTTTGGCTTTTAGCACATCATCCTTGGGCTTCTAAAACCTATGTACTTGTTGCATGAGTCTGGTTTTCATGGTAAAAGAAAGAAACTGGCCTGTATCTTGGTGGATAAAAGGCTTTTGGCTTTATTGTATATGTGCCAAACAATCCTTTAGGATGAGTTGCACCAAGGGATGTACAAGTTGGATATTAGGAAGTATTTCTGCTCACAAAGAGTGGTAGTCCACTGGAATAGGCTGCTCAGCAAAGTGGTGGAGTAAGCAACCATCCCTGGAGGTTTTGAAGGAAAATGGATGTGGCAGTGAGGAACAGTGGACAATAGTGGTGATGGGTTGACGGATTAGATTATCTTAGTGATCTTTTCTAGCTTCAGTAATTGTATAATTCTTTATTACATTTCTAGTAATTAGTATTACATTTCTAGAATATTAGTGCTAGAAATCTTGGATTGTTCCCTTTCAGATCTATACAAATCTCTCTCTTATACACTCATGAACACAGAACAACTCCATCAAAAAATTAGTTGTCATCTTTTTTGAATGCAAGGATAAGTCTTCTTAAATGTAATATGTTTTTGCATACTTTCTGTATTGCATGTTTTCTGTATTGTTTCCCTAAACTTTAAATTGCATATTGCAATATGCAGTAGTTCTGCAATTCTGCATCTGTTATCTCACAAAAATGCATAAGACAGCTACCCAGCAGTGTATTTTATTAGGAAGACTTGATTTTTAGCAGAAATGGTGAACACTTTTAAGCAAATCAGAGTTTTTGTTTTGATTGCCTTATAATAGCTAAAAGTTGCCTTCAGTAAAGAATAAGAATTAAAATTGTCAGCCCATAATTAATTTCATCACTATAGTATTATGACTGAATAAGAATTTCTCTTACCACTTAATTTGTGCATGTCTGCATGTTATTTTGGCTATGTCTCAGGTTGTTTTAATACATATGCAACCTCATGCTCATGGTAGAAGATTCAAGGCATGGGAATGATCTTTCTAGCTTGTTTAAAATATATCTTAGTCGCCTGATGGCAGAAAAAAAAAATTAGTTTGCACTAGAAACAGTATAGCATACGGAGTGGGCTTACTTATGTAAAGTCTTGAACTTAGTTCAGGGTTTCTCCTCAAGTTCTCCTCATGATAGTGTTTTTTAACCTTCTTTCTCTCTGAAAAATTGCCCATGCTGGTGAATGCATAGAAGGTGAGATTCTGTATAAAAATATTTGCTGTCAGATTTGCTTAGTAAAGTATAATTTTCCTGAAAAATCTCTGATTTCTGGAGTGTTGAGAAGAACACGTTGGTTGTACTTTTGATATGTTGAAATTTTTATCCAGTATGTCTCTACAAATCAGAGTTTTCAAAAATAGTGCTTGAGTATAAGAGGTTTCTATCACTTCAGTTTGAGTCATTTATTGATCACTGTTAGGAAATTAGGAAATTTTAACTGCATGTACTGATTTTGCTTTCGAAATAACTTCGTAGAGGGTTCAATCATCTCATCTTTCTGTACCATGCTGTTATGTACAGATATCATTTTTATATTATATGAAATTTAAAACAAAGTTCTTTACTTGCTTTGGCAAAATTAGTTTTTCTGCAGTTTTTATATGGCTTTCATCTCGCGTTAGCTTTGCTTTATCCCTCTTTTACCAGCTTTCAGTCCATTTTTTATTACTTGGAATTGAAATATTCAGTAATTGCAGAGGCAGAAAGACAATCTTTTTTCATCATGTAATGGCAGAGCTGCTGGACAACTCTTAAAATTACCTGTATAGAATTACACATTGGACTTAAATAATTTAGTATCACTTTTATTACATGTGTGCCTCTATTTCAGGGCTCTTGCTAATACATACAGCCATCATAATGTATAGCAAAAGAAACACAGCTCTAAAATCAAATAGATCCTTTATTTCATTTTTCTTTTTTTTCTTTTCAGCTTGCAATGAAGCACAAATGCTGAGATACTGCCCAAAGTTGAAATATTCTCGAAAGAAACTGAAAAGCCTAGGTTGAGCAGTTTTTACAGGAGATGAAGACTTGTGTGTGTTTTTTTTTCATTCCAGTTCAGTGGAGATGCATTCTTTCAGCTTCTGTGCAGGAAAAGATGTTGCTTTTCTACCTTTTTGACTTATATTTTGTTCCTCTTTTGTAATACTGCAACACAATCTTGCAGTATTTTGTACCTCTATTTCTGTTTATTACAGGAACTAAAGTGAACAAGGGAGCTGGACCAAATGACAAAGTTGATCCAAATTAAAACAGTAATATTCTTTGCCAGTACTCCTCCCTGGTATTGCATAGAAGAGTATTTTAATTAAGTGCAGACATGCATGCAGAAATAAAATCCAAAGAAGGGATACATGTTTCTTGAATTTATGTAGCATCAGCAGAATATGAATGTTGGAATTAAACACATGAGGATTTAACTGTGGTCAAGAATACTGCCTTGGGAAACAGAAAACTTGTTTAGCCTACCCAGTGTAGAAAGTTTTGCATGTGCCAACACCAGCATTCTGAAGGGCATATCTGAATTTCACAGGGGAATCTGTTTCCAGTGCTGCATTTTGAATATTTCTATTTTAACTTCCAGATGGATTGTTCGAAGAGAAAAATGAAAGAAACATACAGTGAATGTATGTGTGATGTTTCAAAACTGAGGAAAAAGAGAATGATAAATCTATATGTATAGCTGTGCCTCAGAAATAAACTAGTGTCTAGCAATCTGGTGTAAAGTAACATCTCGTATTATTTTTTAGCAGAAGCTTCAGTCTTCATCTTCTGGAGATGCATGCACTTTAAAAGCAATGCACTTCAGAAACATTTGTCCTCATCTTACTGGAGAGCCAGAGAACTGGTATTAAATGAATGCACTTTGGTTTTCACTTTCAATGTAGAATAAGATATTTCCATTGTTAATGACACTTTAAACAATCTGAAGCACTCCAAGCAGTGCTAGACAAAAGATAAAATCTTCTGTCACAATTAAGATACTTCAATTACCACAACCTGATGTAACTGAAGTTCTGGCTTGGAAATACTCATGTTGTAAAAAGATGTTTGTCTTTAGAAAAACTTTAAGACATTACATTCTTATGGCTACATTCAAAATGTGCATCTATTTTTTAAATAATTAAGCTGTTTTAATGATGCTTATTATTTAACCCAACACTGAAAACTGACAGAAGGTGTATTTTTGTCATCTATGTAGTACCACACAATCATTTATACAGATTTAGCATCATTAAATTGATAAGAATTTTCTAAATTCAGATAGAAATATAATGGATTTTCAGACTTTTACATGAATTTCTGCTGAAAAGGTGAAGGTCACAGTTGCACTGCTAAGTTCCAGATCTTTTGTGAGTTCAACTGCTCTAAAACACTGCTTTAATCCCAATGGCAGTTCTTCAGGATTTTTTTGTATATTCTCCAGTTAATAGTATTGTGTTATGTATCATAACTCAGGACTTTTATTCAGCCATAAAAAGCCATTTACTATGAAAATTCTGAGTAACTTAGTGTTACCAAATGAAGGAAAAGGGGGTTATTTATGTATTCACCTTCTTGCTGTTCATTTAACTACTAAATTTGATAGTTTGTAGAAAAAGAAAAAGAAAAAGAAAAAAAAAAAAAAAAAGATGTATAAATGTCCATACAAAGATAAATCTTATAGCATTGCAATTTCCTCCTGGAAATCAGTTTGTAGCATATACAACATAGTATTATTAGATAGTGATGTACATAACGTATACTATAATTCAGGTTAGTGTTACACATGAAAGAATGTATTTGTAAATTGTAACAACATCAATAGTTTATCTTTTTAAATTTCTGCAAGGAAAAAAATAATGCATTGCTAGACTTGAAACTACTGTGCTGCAAAGTCTGTCTTAAAAGGCTATTTTTGAGTCAAGAGTAGTTGTGCATTATGTGAAATATTAACAAAAAAGTGCTCCTAAATTGTTGGTAGGTTTTGCTATGATTTACCAAAATTGTAATAGTTGCTGGTATCTATGTAACCAATTCCTCAAAAGTTCTCAGAAATGTAGAAATTTTGTGCCATTCTGGGAAAACTAAAAGTGGGACCTGCTCTCTTGTGTAATTACTGGAAATCCTATTTTTTATTTTTATTTTTTGTCATTAAATACTTCAAATGTGGTCAAAACAAAACTGTCCTTGGATTATTTTTGTTGTCTGCTTGAAAAACAAATGATTTATAAATAATGCTTTCTTTCATCTTACTCTCACTTTTTGTTCAGTTCTGCTGGAAATATAGTTCTTTTAGTGTTCACTGGAATGATGAAATCTGTTTTTATAAAGGATACTGTAATAAATTTTTTTTAAAAAGTAATGGGAACTAGGTAGAAGGACATTCCAGACCCTGCTTAACACAGGTAATTATTCTACCTAAAAGATATAGGATAAAGATAATTGTTAATTTTGTCTGTTTGCTGTAAAATGTTACTCACAAATTGTTATTTTTTCTTTCATCAGTCTACAAAAGAAATTCACCTTGAGCTATGGGAATTCAAAATTATGAGGGTGATGTTCTATAAACATAGAAGCAATTCCATATATTAAAATGAGGACTGCTTGTAGAATTATATCAAGTATGAACTGACTGCCACTATCACTTTTTTTTTTAATACCTTAGGGGTGCTAAGTTCCTAATCTCAAAATGCAGTGTAGACAAATATAATCAAATGATTGAAGTACATTTTTAGGAAAAAAATATTGCTAGAATGCTTGTCGTCTATCTGCTATTCAATATCATATACATGCATGATGCCCAAGCTGAATGAAAGTTGCAGTAAAAGAAATAGTTCTCTGGTGGATCAGAACAGATATTAATCGGAAGAGCATTTTTTTTAAATAATTCCTATTGTAATTCAGCTGGTGTAATGCAGCTCCTTACTGTAAATGTATTCAATGTATTTGGTTCATTGTTTGAACATTTTTTAAATCAGTTTTGCCACACTGACTCTTTTCTGAATCTTAGTATTTTTCATAAAAAAATCACTCATACCGGTGAGCAGATGAGTGAAAACTATTCGGTATTCACTAAGGTATCTCACTAAGCTCAAGTGAGCCAAACAGTGCCCAGGGAAGAGAACAGCAGTGGCAGAGATCTTGTGATTAGTGTTTTTGCACAAGTCACTGGAGTACCATACGTGATTTAACCAGCTTTTTGTTGCAAAATTTCTTCAGAGTGTTTCTGAGTAGTTTTTAAAAGTATGTATGGAGAAATAAGTACCCTAGGTTATCCGTATATCTGTTCATTTTTGTTGCTTTCCTATGTGCTGTTTTTCACTTTTTTTTCATTTTTTTTTTTCATTTCAGTCAAGCTGGAAACAGGTCTGCTAAAAAGCAGAGCGCTCAAACATCTTGTCAGGTACTATTCTTCACTGAGACTATAAACAACTGCAGAGCTGCCATAACTGAAATAATAGCTGTACATACAGGATTGTAAGACAAAAGATAGTTAAACAGTTGCATAAGATTTATCTGCCAGACAAGGTTTCATTCCTCTTAGCATGCACTCATAGGGAAAGCATTGTTAACTGTTAGTTGTTGCTGATTAACTCATATTAGAGACCTCAGTAGAAGTGATTTTAATCTAACAGTATTTTATATAGCAATGGCACTGATAGAGAAAAAGGAGGTGGAAAGAGGAAGGATATGTTTTCACATTCCCTGACTGGTGATGCTTCATAGGATCCTCCCTTCAGTTTTTGTATGACACAGTAAATGTATGAGGTTATTTGTGGCTTCCTCTACAACTCTGGCTGTCTTTCCTTTTTCCTGCTTTTGTACAGTCTTCCCATACTCAATAACAATTTTCTGTCCTATTATCTTGCTTGCAACTCCCTCATCCAGAGAGGCAGCTCCACAGTTACCTCTCATCCTTTAAGACCATCACATAGTAAGATCTTTTGCACTCCCTTGTCCTTTTGGTGTTTAAAACCTCATGTTCTGTTGTTGGATGTAGCCTGTTACTGTCTGTAGATGAAGAAGGTGTAGATATGTACTGCACATAAAATGAAAACACTCAATGAGGCCAAAGTTAAAGTGTTTCAGAAGGTCTGAAAGGATTTATTAGAAGTCAGAAGATCATAGTGCTGGGCTACTCAGCAATAAATAACCTTGTTATTACAGCTTCACTTTGAAAAAAAAGCCTTTAACAAATTTAAGGAAGAATCATATATCTTGAATGTATGTAGTTTGCTCAGAAAGTAATGCCTCCTATTTATTTCCATGGAAACTACAACAGATACAAAGATCACGAGAGCACTTTTTGGTAGAGTGAATTCTCAGCTACAAAACATTGTTTTTTAACATTGTCACCACCATTAACAGAAGATGATACTTCCAGAGCAGCCTTCATAGCATTTTTCCACCCTTCTGTATCAAGAATTCAAAGAGAAACATCAACTTATTTCACATACACATTAACATTATGGAGGTAAGTGTTCTATTCCTGTCCATTGTTTTACTATAAATTAGAGATCTGGAACTGTAAAACCCAGATCTCCTTATTCCTAGTTCAATATGTTGTAATTGAAAACATTGTATTTATCTTTGTGGTGAAAGAATCAGAAAAAAAAAGTAGACTTCTTGCAAGCACGCTTTTTTTTCATCCTGCTCCAGCAATATCACCTCTTTGATAGTGCACAGTATACACTGTCTGTGAAATGCAACTTGTGGCAAAATCTTTCTGTAGAGAGAGAGTCCAAGAGGAAGAAACACTAGAGAAAAGCTGGGCTGAGAAAGCATCACTTCTCTGCTTGAGTTTTACCAGCACTGGAAGAAGCTCTCAGCTCTCAGGCTAAAAGCATTTGTATGACTGCAGTGAAGGAACACAGTTTAAAGTCTTTTAGAGGAATGCTCTGTGCATCTCTTTTTGTTGTTCACAGGCCTCAGCAGCTGTGAAGAAAAACTGGCTCTCTTGTGTTCAAGCAGCTCTTACAGATGCTAGGTTAGTGTAAAGAACAAAAGCATCTGTGTGTCAGACCAACACAGAATGCATTGCATTGTTATTGTCAACTTTCATTTAAAAATGCCCTTCAAAGGCACATGAACCCTCCCTTCTATAAGCATGGAAGATATAATTCAAGAAAAGATAATAAAAATTTAAAAATATTCATATTCTGAAGTACTATAATGGGATTAGCTGAACAATTCATATCACAGACAGTGACATAGTTATTTTGAAGAAATGAGGATTTACTGTAAAACATGGCCCTCAAAGGACTGCAAAACCCTATTTGAGGGATGATGTGACAGTCTGAAAACAGTGTGATTCATGATTGCCAAGAGAGAAATAAGGCAGTAATGTTAGATTTCCTAAGATAATGCAGAAAATTTACAAATATGGAAGTGAAGAAAGCTCATTGTATAACACTGAATAATTCATCATTCTCTAACAAACAGCGTTGAACTCTATTCTCTGATGCACTCATAATTACTAGAACTGGACCATTTTCAGGTTGCATATACTAAACTGCGAGCAACTTTTTCCTTCTTAATCAAATGCTAATCTAGTTTCAGAGGGTTTATTTTTCCTTTCATTTGGGTTACACATGTTCTCACCCATTAAAAACACAAAACACTATTCTTTGGCCATCTTTTCCATACAAAACACGTCTTTGCAATGTTAGTATTTTAGTATTTCACTCTGCCAAGTTTCCTTGCCCTGCAGGGGGATTACATTTCAGCAATTCCTTGCACCAAATCTGGAATTCTTTGATTCTGAGTTTTGTAAAACTTTTACTACTTGAATGAGATGAGTCTCTTATTTTCTATTTTATTATTTATTATTCTTATTATTTCTTTAACTGCAGTTTCTGTATGTTAACATTGTAAGATTCGCGACTCATACTACTAACTATATGCCTGAAATGATTTACTAATCTAGAGTAGTGTTAGCAAGTTTCTATCAAACACTATGTTAAACAAGACAGGAATTAATATTTATTGTTATATAGAATTTAAATCTATGTCTTTTTCTATTCTAAAGACTGTAAAGAAGCAGACTGGTATTATGCAAGACAGATTTCTAGATATCCCTGATGCAAATAATTGCACTTGCGATTTGACCTGGGGAATAACTGTCAAAGTTGCTTCAGGATTTTTCATTCCAAGCAAGTCAATGTAAAACAATGATGGAGAAGTTTGGGGAATGGTAGTAAGAAAGTGTTTTATTTTTTCAAATTGAAAGGAATGAAGAGAATGATTGGTTGGAATCTCCAAAGAGTGCTGAGTAGAATGTTCTAGGCAGGGATAATATGTAAAGGTTGCTTTGTATCAGCTCAGATGTAGCCTTGTTTGCATAATCTTAAACTCCCTAGACAATTTTTATGCTTTGTCAAAAGATGCTGTGTAGAGTTTACAGGTTCCTGCCAAATCTACAACTTAATTTCTTCTACTGTTTCATTCTCATTATCCTTAGACTCATAGAAAAAGTGAAATTCAGACAGAACACTGAAAATCCTCCTCCTAACACTGGAGCTACACTGAACATCCACATTCAACTACACAAAAACAGAAAAGACAAGATAAACAAAGTCTTTTCTTAAATCCTGCTGATGGGTAGACCATGGAATTGTATGGGTAATTAAAGTTATGATGAGCAACAAATAATTTTTTTAAATGACAGTCAAGGCATGATAATTAGTGTGTCTTAGTGGATCAATTTGTAGTTATAATTAATCACTGCAGTCAGTTTCAGACAAATTTGTGTTAACTTATCATCTCAATGAATTTACAAACAAAACAATGCTGGAATGACACCAGCATGAGGGAGCCTCTGTGTGCGGGATTTGTTTTGATCTGTTTTAGACAGCTTTTTATTCCAATCTCCGTAGTTGTATATTCACAGTTTTCTATGAAAATAACAACTTATATATAATATATATAAATAACTCTCACTCGTATACTGTCCACAAAGCTTAAAATTAACTGTGAACTTCTACAAGACTCATTCACACCCACCTATCGCCTGTTCATGTCTTTGTATGGAAAGGAAAACAGTTCACAGGTGCACAAAATGAAAACGTACAGATTTTGTTACACATATGCACACAAGCACATAAAACATATTGTCAGTACAACAGATTTCTAAAATGAAATATGGTTCTAAAATTGACTCAATTTTTCACATGAAAATATTC